TTGCTCTCCTATATAATAATAAAATTACCTAAATTACTAATTGAAACATATTTCTAACATCATTAAAAATTGTTAATTGACTTAATGATTTATTAATAAAATGGGCGATTTGTTGTGAAATTAAAAATCTCAGGTGGTGAAATGTAATTTCTAAAACCACAGGGGGTGATTCATATTTTAATCAAATCTCAGGGAGTGTATTTGTAATTTACACATTTTTTATAACCTTTTCACTTTGTTTCATATGAAAACTATGTGAAAGTCATTTTATTTTAACTTTTAAAGAAATTTCATCTAAAATAATATGATATGGTTTTTTTTTTTGTTTTTGTTTTTTCAGCTTCTTACCAAATAAAAAATGCCCATTAAAATGGTTTAGTTACAAAAATATCACTTAAACTCTTTTTGGGTGCAGTTTTATGTGAAACTTTTTTAATAATGTTATAAATTAAAAAATTAAACACAGAAAAATATCAAAAAAATAATATATTGTGTAGATTCACTTTAGGTGTAGGGTCCACTATAGGAGAGCAGAATGTGTGCAAAATAATCTAATTCAATCACATCTGCATTAATTTTTGGATTTTATAACTTTAATTACTCGACAGCATTAAATTGCCTTAAACACTGACCTCTGTTTGGCAATGTTGATAGACATTGGTGGCCATGTACTCTGGACCAAAGATTACTGATGTCGGTGGATTTTCTGGGCCTTGATCGAATGAAAATCGGCAATCCATAGTAGAGTGTAATGAGCTCCTCTTAAAGAACTATATAATCCATAAACAAAAGCAATAAATAATTACTATTTTGAAATGAAAATTGTATAGAAAATGATATGTAAACCTATTTTTTAAATTTATTTTTTTTTTAAAGTGGATTTAACTTTTGAGTTAGAATAGCAATTTAGTGTAAAAACCAATTAACTAACATTTATTTTTGGAAAAATTATCCTGTCTTTCAAGAATTCCAATTAGACTGTGTGCCCTTCCAATTATATTGGTTGTTTTATATAATATATAGGGAAAAAAATAAGAAACAATGGATCTATAACTAATAGAATTGTAAGAATATATCATGTAAAATATGAGGCAGACCTATCTAATAATTTTATTTTTAATTTTTGAGTTCGAAATGGGTTCTCTCTAGCTCGGCGTGCTGTTGTTGAGTTTGGTGGCTCCACCTTGATAATATCAATCACTAGCTTAAGAGAACTACTTGAGCAAAATATCTAGTTAAAAAATTAAGATGATTAGATACTATCTAGCTCTTAGAATTATCTTAATTTTTTTATATAGATAGTATATTCAGTAAATGTTATAAGATGAATGATTCGAAATTAACAAAATTGATTTCCAGATAGGCCCAACAAACTGAGACCTAACAACACAATACCTAACTGGAGTAAATGTATTTCTTTTTAACCTCCGTTTGTTTCAACATAAAATTTTTTAACACTAGAAATTATTTTTTCATGTAAATTAATTATGCACATAATTTTTCTTTTTAAATTTTGGCTATCAAGTTGACACTTGAAACATAAAATTTTAAGGAAAACAATCTGAAAAGATCAATCACATAAGAGTTGTTGTAAGGGTTATAATGAAGAATTTGTATTACTTACTTCTTGTATGAGAGTAGCAAGAGGATGTTGACAGTTGGGCATGTAGGCTGTGATGAAAACACCAACCGAGATCTTCTCAGGGAACCTCTCCATAGCCAGAGAAATGCCAAGCCCACCATAGCTGTGCCCCACCAAAACCACCTTCTCATCATCACGATCAGGCAAAGAGGCCATAAACTCCATCAAGGGCTGCAAGTAGTCGGAGATCGAAGCCATCTCATCGAGCCTTCTTGGGTCCACCCCACAACCACCCAGGTCGAGGGCGGTGACACGGTGGCCCGCCGCCCGGAGCAGAGTGGCTAGCTTGTACCAGCACCATGCTCCGTGGCAAATTCCATGAACCAGAACAAAGTGCTTTGCACTGGTCTCCTCCATTGATGATTCTTGTTGTCTTTAGTTTTGGATTTATGAATGGTTTATAGGATCATTGAAGGAACGGATGACAAAAAAGAGTTAAAGAGGGATTATAATGTGGGGATGAGCGCATTGAACACCAATTTGCAATCTTGTGATAACAATTTCCCCAAATCAGTTGGATCAGCCAGCGCATTGAACACCAATTTGCAATCTTGTGATAAACCAATTTGTATTGAACACCAATTTAATCATTCAAACAAGTACTCTCTCTCTCTCTCTAAAATCTCTCTCTCTCTCTCTCTAAAAACCTCCACCCTCGGGCCTCACTTTTGGCTGGCCGGCCGCCGCCTTTGGCTATGGCAGTCGGCTGGTCCAGCTTCCTCTTCTGTTTGTGTGTTGTTTTTTCCATATAATAACTTGATTCCCACAATGTTTTCCCACTTAGATGTGTTTCGGTGCTGCTGGTCCAGCTCCTTTTGGACTTGTATGTTTTGTTTTCACCAGGGGGTGCTTGGTATAGGGGTCAGAACAGAGTAGATGGTGGTCGGTTTTGGACCGGAATAGAGGTTGTTCTAATCTGGTTAGGAGTTTCATTCGGGCGCTCCTGTGCGAGTGGGAGTTTGAGGGATGAATGTTGGTTCGGATCTATGGAGATGCTTCGATCCAGATCTAAGATCTAAGAGTCCAGATCTAGATCCAAATCTTCGATCCAGATCTAAGATTCCATTCAAGCGCTCCTTTTCGAGTGGGTGTTTGAGGGGTGTACTTCATCCAGTAGTATCCAGTGGGTGTGTTCGGAGTTTGGTTCGGAACAGAGGTGTCCGACCATGGATCTGGAGTTGGCAGTGGGTGTGTTCGTGTTCGGCGTTGGGTGTGTTCGACCATAGGTGTGGAGAAGTGGAGTTGGCAGCGGGTATTGGCGTGGAAGTGGGTCTCGGCAGGTGGCGTGGTTGGTAGCAGCAGGTTGGCTAGCAGGGGAGCTGCCGTGGGTGTGAGAAAGAAGAAGATATTGGGGTTTGGATCTGCAGTGGGTTTGGGTACTGCTCTGGGTATGGGTGGCTCGGCTGGCAGTGTGAGTTAAAAGAGGTTGCTAGCATGGAGTTATAAGATGGTTTCATAGGTTAGGAGGTTGGTGTACCAGTGTAGAGACGGACCATTGTGGAGGATGATGATGGCGGCAGGAGCAAGGTTGTAGGTGAGTCCGCAAGGGGCAACAGCAGAGTGGAAGAAGGGGCTGATGATGGTGAGTCAGTAGAGGTAGGGGCTGATGATGGTGAGTCAACAGAGGTGTGGGCTTTGGGTGGCGTGCGTGGATCTTGGCTGTTCAGCAGCATGGGAGAGCAGCAACATTGGGTGTTGTCTGTTTTGTTTAGTTTGGGTTCGGGTTGTGTGGGATGATGTTGTGGGGAGTTTTGTTTTTTGTTTTATAGTTAAGTTCTTCTTTAATTTTTTTTGTTTAAAAAAAAAAAATTCGTGAGATCAAGAGGTTGGTTGTATGAATACGAGTAACCGTAATAGGAGTATTCTGTACTTTCCGAATCTCTCTCGATGAATGTCATCTGTCTGTACCTTTAAATTCATATTGTTAATAAAAAAAAATTTTACTGATAAAAAAAATAATAATATGGAGATGAGAAGTTTCACACTTTGTAGGGTATACAATTAACAGTAGAAAAAAAAACCACAGATCATAATCGTTGTCTTACATGACAATAGTCAGATACATAATAATTATAATAAAAGGAAAAATGTTTATGACTCATTTATTGTCAATTAAATATTTTTTTAATAATGTTATAGGTATTAATTGGTATATCAATTATTATATTAATAGATAATATAATATAATTTTAAAAATTTTAAATTTTTATAATTTGTATAATAGATAAGATTATAATTTTAAAGCAATTATGTCATAACAATAAATGCTATTATGACTATATTTTGATATGCAAACTAATTGGCTCGTGCAACAACACCGATTTTTTCTCTTATGCGGTTTTATATCATGACTAGCGAATTGTCTTTGTAATTTTATATACTTAAATTTGTAAATAATTTTATTTAACTTTAATCTCACCTCATTAGTCTAAGTTACTTAAATTTGACTAATATAATGTAAATTTCGCTGTATTCATTGCAAATTAATTTTGAGTTAAATGTTTTGATATGGTCATTTACACGTCAAAATATTTTATTTAAAACCAAGTAAAAACAATTATTCTGTAAAATAGTTATTAAGACCAGGTGTCGATCCTCAGATACTAATCAAGTTGTTTTGATACAAAAATAATAATTTAAGAAAATTGATTTTGAAATTAATAAAACTAAAATTAATCAAACATAAAATAAATAAAATAAAATAAGAAATTTCTTATTGTTTTGAATCTACCACTAACCTTATAATCAAGAGTTATTGTATTAGTTTTGAGAAAATCATTAATTTGGATAAAATTATATAAGTTGATCAAAAATATATCGTCAAGAGAATTTGTATATAAAACCAGAAAGCCACGAATCATCTTCGCTTAGCACAGACCGTCACCACTAAACTAAACTAAACTAAGGTTGATGCACGACCCATCTTACTAAATATGACTGACCTAACAATTTTAATACACTGTAGAGTAAATAATTGTATAACATGTTTTGAATAAAACATTTATTGCACAAAAATATCTAAAAATTATGCAATTTATCCAAATCAAATCAAAACTAAAAATATTTAATATAATAAATCACAATTATTTGATTAGGATTTCATCTCCACCCTAAGATGAAAAATCATTTCCTAACGCTCATGCCACACTAATATATAAAAATTATACTCTCCCACCTTCTCTTTCTTTCTATTTTTCTCTCTCTTTCTCCCTGCTTCCTTGGCCGAAACCTCTGCCCGCTCCCCTCTCCCCTCTTTTCTTTCTTTCTCTTAAACTTCTTTTATAACCTTGAACCTGCAAAAGAAAACAAAAAAATAAATAAATATAATATAATATAATATTTTATTTTATATATATATTAGTATATGCCCATGCTCATATCCGTGCTCGTGCCTGAAGGCACGGTATAAATAAAAATAAGTGAACAAAAACGAGTGCGTCTCCACCTTCGCCAAGGTCACCATTCTCAAGAACCACCGCTCCGCTGTCTTCCGTCGCAGTACCACCGCATCACTTCCACTGCCATCCTCAAGAACAGTCGCTTCTCCGTCCTCCGTCACAACACTTCCTATGCCATCCTCCATCGCAGCACTACCGTAGCACCTCCTCTCTCTTTTCTCTCTCGCCGCAGCACCGCGGTTTCAGCCAAGTTTCGGCGTAAATCTGAGTCGATCGACATGGATCCGTGCGCGATCCACACATATCTATGTATATATACATGTATGTGTGTGTGTGAGTGTGTATCAGTATCATTTTTTTTTTTGGTTCATTTGTTGTATATGTTGACATGTATGTATACATGTGTGTGTGTGTGTGTATCAGATCTGTCCATTTTTTTTTTGTTGTAATGTTGTGGTTGTTGATCTGTTAGGGTTGTGGTTGTTTGTTGTGGATGTTGTTTTTGTACGGTGATTTTTCGGGGTCGGGGATCCCCGATCCCCGTTAGGGGGCGGGGGCGGGGAGGATTGTGGGTTCCCTGTCAGGGATCGGGGCCAGAGAGTTTTTTTATTTTATTTATTTTTTCATTTTTTCATTTTAGTATTTATATAATATAATATAATATAGAATATATTATTTATACTAATTAATGTATAAATACTAATATATATATATATATATATAGACATAAAAATCACACAAAATTATAAAATTATACCAATTAATGGACTAATAAAATATATATTAATGAGTCAAATGTGTAACATTTCGAATCCAATCACACCTCCCAACTTACATTTTGCTAGTCTTCAAGCAAAACAAATCTAAAAAGACAATAAAATAAAATTTATTTATGCCATTTTCGTAAAGAACACGATTACATTTAGCGTATGCAACTGGCCTTTGAACCCTTAAGTTATCCCTAGTGGACAAATGGTAGTCTCATGAGGGTTTGTAGAGAATTTACCCACAAAATTCAATTTTTTTTCTTGTTTTACAGTGATAATTGTTAATTTTAATATATTAGTAAAAGAATTATCAGAATTAGAATACTAGCAATCAATAAAAATAATTTTATATATCTCAAATCTCAGTGTGTGTGTGTAAATTATAGCCAACAAAAATATTATTTAATCTCAAAATGAAATAAGACTCTAGTTCTATCATAAGCATGCTTCAACTCAATTCTCTCTCATTTACTTTCAACAAATGAAACATTCTAAAATGGTTCAACTCACCAGTGTATGTATGTAAGAGAATACTTATGTTTAACAAAACGAAAATTTCTCACAATTAGCAATGAAAAATGTTGTATAAAATGTTGTTTAAATTGGGTAATAGAAACAAAACAAATAAATTCATGCTTTATTAAATTAACTGAAAGAATATCAAATAAAATCATACTTGATAAATTACATTATAGAGCATACATATGAAACAAGACTAATATGAGAACATATTTAATCTGAATATGATAACAAGAAATCAAACCAAATTCTGTGTGATACCAGAGTGTCCTTAAAACAGATTAGCCGCATCACCGTGGGTGTTGGAAGAACGTCGACTTCTGTCTCCCAAGATAAGATGGTTTAAACCGGCTAACTCAGAAGCACCTTCTGTTAGCTTTGGCGAACCGACAATGGCAGCACTCTTTCACAGTAAGAAAATTCTAGCAAACTGACTGAAGAATGGAAGAAACAATTTTTGTGTTTGAGACTTGACAGGAGGGTCTCAATTTATACATGTATAGGGGAGAGAGGAAAAGCCTCCAGCCTTTATGGCTGGTCAGTAATGCACCAGTAACCTCTGCAATAAAGACAGAAGTTACAAACCCCATTAATGCACTATTAACCTCTGCAATAAAGGCAGAAGTTACAAACCCTATTAACTCTTTCATGAAGCTAATTTCATGGGGCAATTTATCATTCAATTCTTAATGGTTTTTGGCCATTCTATTTATGGTGTAGAGATCTCATTGCAAAGTATCTACACCCACTTAGACACAACACAATAGATAGTGGGGACCCACTTTAATATTTAATTAAAGTCATCAAAAATTCATTTTTTCCAACGTAAAAAAATAAATAAATATATATATATATATATAGTCTCATGATAGGAAAGCCGAAAATAATAAAATTATGTCAATTTGTCATTTGAAAAATCATACAAATCCCGAGATCAAATAGAACTTTATTTTTTGGTTGTAATGTTGGGTCAAAGGGAATTATTTACAGAATTGGGTATAGGGTGAAAATAGGTGTCCAAGAAATAAATCAAATTAATGCAGCATATGTAGAACATTGCTTCACTAACCCGTCCTTTAAACTCCTTTTTTTAAAAATATATATATATATATATGATTCACAACCATACTCTCTATTCTCTTCTTTTTTTTTTCTCTCTCTTTTTTTTTTAACATAGAAGTAAAAATATGTTTTTTACAATTTCCTTGTTTTCATTCACATGTGCATATAATTGAGAGAGGCGAGATGAGAGAAATAAAT